ATTCCGTACATTTGTTGCCACTGCTCGCTTTTAAATCGTTGATTTCGGAAACCAAAAATTCATTAAGGCTTTACAAAATATGAAACATATAATTCAAAATTCGGGCAAAAGATTACATTATTCAAAATTTAATGGCGGTAGGTACTGTCGTTTCACAATGGGAGGAACATGCAGATTCTTCATTACTTAATTTCTTTAATGCACTGCGATAGTATTCGGTAACAACAATTTGAAAAGCGATTCACCAAAACAAATCAAAATCTCATTTCGAGATTAACACCCTGTTCGAGCTAAAAAGGCATAAAGGCAGACCTTAATGGCTATATAAACAATGCTAAGTCATCTTCCCCATGCTGACTAATCCAAGACAAGAGAGATAAATCTCATTGTCCAATGAGGTAGAGCCCCATTATGCTAGAATATGAAATGTTCTAAATAATCTTTCATTCGAATGACAACTGTAACATGTCAAAATATGACATAGTGTTTTTCTCTTCTCCGGGAAATGAAGCCTATTCACATTTCTCTGAGACACATCATAGTAGACAGTTAGTTTTGGTGAATCCTTTCGTATTCAACAAAGTAAAGACAATTTTTCATGTCTTCTGTATGGACATAGTAAAAATTTCTCAACGCTTCTATGCAATTATAAGCTCGTATCGCTTGATGTAAATATTTGGTTCCAAATGTTGCAACACCTGTAAACAGCAATTGCTGTCACAAAATCCTATTAATGATTGCCTGAGGAATACAGAATTCACGGCTATGAGTGCCATTACTTAATTTCTCTAATGTTTCATTAAAATCTTGATCGTCCGAGGGTCTTGTCTTTACATAGCCATCCAGTATTCTTAAATTACTGACAGCATTAGAGTGCTGTGGCAGCTTAGCAGACCTCTTTTGTACTGCCTTCAAAATGTCTGCGTAATAACTATGAATCACGCTATGTATATTATGAAGCAAAAGAAGCTCTCTACTGTAAACTCGCTGTTTTGAAAAAATGAAGCTTATATCTTTTAGATAATCTGTCACAAGAAAGTTTACACCCACGAATTTAAGTTTTTATTTCATTACATGAGTATTACGAATGTTAGTGTGAGTTGATTTAGAGCATGAAGACATATTGATACTCTGACCAGAACCTTCAGTTACCTCTGGAGCCACTTATTGTAACATTAGTAGCACCAGAGGGGCATAGGCGGAAAAGCACCTGCATTGAAAATAAAATGGAATATAAACTAAACCTCTTCCCAATACGAAAAATCACTGTTCCTTAATATAACGGGTTGCCTTGATTAGTATTCATGTGTACATTCATTCAAACACAGTATTTTAAGTAAGTATTACAAATATGTGACCTATGTATATTTAATATAGTTTAGATTCTTCTGTTTGTTTGTAAATGTGCAAGTTTATATGTAGGTTTTATGTATGTTATATGAGTATAATTTATATGTTTATGTTTCAAATTATCTTGTTCCTGGTACATTTGATAATCGATCACTCTACAACTCATAAGTTTTGCGTTAGATCTTTGCCACAGAAACCGTTGTAACTTAACAATCTTCCCTTAATATACTCTGATGCAGTGGTCCCATGGGATCCCAGGGAGGTTTTGCTTCTAGCCAGAGATATTTGCCTAAGATATAACTTATTCCTATTTAAAAAAACAAACAAAATTTATTTTTATTTGCACAGACCAAAAAATTAAATTCAGTCTTGTGCTTACACTATTACTTTTCCCTTGTGTAAACCAAATGTATCTTATTTGTATTGATCTAAAATGAAAATTATACATAAATAATAAAATGGTCAAATAAAGTTAACAAAATTATACCTATTATTAAATTTTTGCCAGTAGCATTTATAGTTTTTTGATTTTAATGGAAGATAAAAAGGAAAGGGGGAATTTCCAAAATAATTCACCCGAATAAAAATAATCTGGCGCCCACAAAGAAAAGAGTGGGAGAAACAAGTTCAGCGCATTGGATTGGCTGGTTAAGCGGCGAGTTGGGAGAAACCGCAGGTTACTGGATTCGAAGTAGTTGGTAGTTGGTTTGAAAAGTCGAAATAAAAACATTTTTTTTCAAATTTAACTCGCAGAGGAGAATTCAGAATTCTATCTAAGAATGACAAGAGAATATACTTAGCTCTTGCGTTTGCGGGAAAACAATATTAAGATATATCTCCGTAGACTTCCTCTTTATAAGGAAATGTCTTTCCATTAGACTTCAAACATATTTAAAATAAAAATATAATGATAATAAAAAAAATCTTAAGTAACATGTAGATTATGTTTGTCGATATGTTACTTTATTTTTAAAAGGAATTTTAATGCATAATTAGAATTCTAATGCATACCATACCTGCCAACCTCTAAAAATAAAAATTCAGAAGATTTCTCCAAAATTCAGAAGAACACGAAGAATTAATATCATGCTTTGATATTGAAAAAATAACAATTTATACAAATAGAAAAAAGAAAATTATACTTACATTAGTAAATCTCAGTTAAGTAGTAACTAAAAAATTTATTAGGAAACATAAAACAAGAACTTATGACAAGAATGTTACACAAAAAAATTATTGCAATGAATTTAGAGTGCATTTTTTGGCTTTAGCCAAAAATTGTTTGGAAAATTCCTGTCATAACAATTAGTTTCCTCATAACATTTAGCAATTAAAATGTTTTCTAGAGTTTTTGGTGAAATTGAAGAACGAAACATAGTTTTGTTTTTCTTTACAACACTGACGACTCTCTCGCACTCAGGATTACTGTGTGGAATTACGAGAATAGCACATAAAAACTCTTGCTAGTCTATCATATTTTGGTGTTCCATAAACTCTTTTTATTCTTTTTAAGGCACCAACGAGGACATCAAGTCTATCTTCTCCAGAACTGGCAAAGTCTTCAAACTGTGCAGCAGAAAATTGGTTCTGTAGTTCATCTAAAGCATCATTATGGCATTCATTTTCTTTAATTGTTAACAAAAATGAAAATTTATCAATAAAAAAACGAATCTTTTCAAAAGATGAATTTTCAATTTGTCAAAAGATGAAACATCCATCTGAAAAGTTGACCGGCATGATCGGCAGCGCTTAGCGGCATGTTGTGTTCGATGAGGAATGCAGTAAACAAACACTCTGCCAAAATGACATCGGCATCCGAATTCGAAAAAAAAATCATCCACTTTCTTTGACGTTGTCGAAGCCGAAGCATTAACTTCATGATTTTTAGACTTAACATGCTTCACAATGTCGCTTCTTCCACCGTGACTTATTATGAAGGTGCACACGTTGCAAAAATGCATAGTTATTTCCTTTGAAGGATTCTTTAATTGTTGGAAATTCGGCTTTGTAGGCAAGCCGAAACTATTGAGAATACGGATTTTTTAAACTCATTTCGTAACAACGATGTATTAAGAAAATTCGTAGCACGTGCAAGCAAAAAAAAAAAAAAAAAAAAAAAAAAAAAAAAAAAAAAAGAATCCGACAATCCACGCTCGCTCAGTCCGAGCTGAGTAATTCCCTTGCTACTGAAGCGAACGCAAAAAAATAATCTGGCGCCCACAAAGAAAAGAGTGGGAGAAACAAGTTCAGCGCATTGGATTGGCTGGTTAAGCGGCGAGTTGGGAGAAACCGCAGGTTACTGGATTCGAAGTAGTTGGTTTGAAAAGTCGAAATAAAAACATTTTTTTTCAAATTTAACTCGCAGAGGAGAATTCAGAATTCTATCTAAGAATGACAAGAGAATATACTTAGCTCTTGCGTTTGCGGGAAAACAATATTAAGATATATCTCCGTAGACTTCCTCTTTATAAGGAAATGTCTTTCCATTAGACTTCAAACATATTTAAAATAAAAATATAATGATAATAAAAAAAATCTTAAGTAACATGTAGATTATGTTTGTCGATATGTTACTTTATTTTTAAAAGGAATTTTACTAATTATATTAGTACACAATTATTCTGTAACCAAGGTGAATAAAGCACGGCACCAAAAATTTCTTTCAGTAATTTCTGAAATGTTATAAAAATGCATAACATTTTCTAGTTATATACGATATATAATGTTATTATGTACTGCGATTAGTAGAAATATCTTTAACAACAAAGCTGAAGAGAATGACATTTTATTGAAATAAGTTATACCTCTACAGCATGTAAGAAATATGTCCACATAATCAATAGCTACAAATTGCTGTAGGACACCAACAGAGAGAAAGGTTGACTGTTTATTGAAGTACTGGCTTCATCGCATTTATATTTATAGGATTGCCAGACACTTGTGGAAAGCTCTTACAATTTCGACAAAAATCACTAAAAACACTTGAAAAAGGAAAAAAATCGTAAAAAATGGATTACGATCGTAAAAACAAATGCATTTTCGTAAAAATTACGAAAAATTCGTAAAAGTTGGCAGGTATGATGCATACATAAAAAATGATAGATGTGAAAGCTATGCATGACATTTAATCCTTTTTTTTAGATAAGAACAAACACAGCTATTGAAAAAGAAAAAATTATTACATGGACACATACATCCAAAAGGTACCATTAAACACATGCATGTAATAAATTACTGGAAAGATACTGGATTATTAATTAAACTTATATTTCATTATTAAATGAAGAAAGGGCGAAACATATCTAAGGATAAGTAAAATGTAACAATTTAAATACTGAAGGAGGGCTAAAGATATACGCATTATTATTTAAATATATGTGGTACATCATAAGGAAGGTATATTATTTGATAATGAATTTGAGCCTTATTTGGTACTTTTCATACTTGAAATATTTAATATTCATTTCCATATAAATACATTCTTAATAATATTACAAAGCACATCCAGTAAACATGTGAGAATGCATTTTTTATACAAATAGTTGGTATTTTCTAGATCTTTGATGAATAATAAGGCTAAAATCTAACAGTTACTCAATCATGTTTTTAGATAGAGTACAGTGTGGCTGTGATAATGAATTACATAGCCATTTGCTTCACTAAACAAATTTAGAATACAGGAAAACATATTGATAGAAAATAAATTTACATTAAGACATCAGGCGAATATATCAAGGAATATATATTATCACTATGTCATAACGGATTTAAAAAATAATTCAATTATTTCTGCTGTGATAAATTTCTATTTGTAAAGAATCACAAATTATTTTTTGCAAGAATTTATTATGATTCACATAACAGAATTTTACAACTGAATATTAATGTTGATGTAACACAAGGAAGAAATGCAGCAATGTTCAAAATGTTTTTAACCATCTTAGCAGGAAGTAAGTAAATTAAGCAAACATTTTATGATATTCACATGTGCACAAACTGTGCATGCTGCATTTCCATTGAAAAAGAGTCCACTATAACATACTTTCACTAAAGCATAATAAATGAACTTATGATGTGATTTCCACCTCTTAGGGCTAACACCAAATGTAATACAGATCCCCCAGTCACTTTGTAATCTGCAGCTGTTTTTTCATCATTCCTAAATCAAGAAAAAAAAGTTGTTACTTTTTTACATGTAGCTATTGTAAGACATTAATATATTCATACAGAAATATATGGAGATATTTGACGATACAATCATCAAATATCTCCATTACTCAAATTTCAACGCCATTTTAAATATCTGGAAATTCACCATATTAAAAGAAGCTTAAAATTTAACATTACTTAGCACATATCTGTAGAAACACATTTAAATACTAGAAAATAAACATTTCTTTACATGTAAGTGTTTTACATTAGAAGGAAAAAATTAAAGGTATAGCTTATACACATGAAAATACAGTAAGACCCCGCTTAACGCTGTTTCAGTTTAGCGCTCTTTTATTTCAACCCGGGGATTCCACAAAATCGCTCGCAGCTTACGGAGATTCTCCGAAATATTATGCAGCGCTAGGTTTCAAATACATATCCGAAAAGAGTGTACTTGTATTTCTTGTTTGGTGCGGTATTGTACAGACATATTTTGAAGGGATAAATGTGGAAGATGTCGAAGAAATAATTCAAGAAGCAGCGGCTAGTCTTTCTAATGATGAGCTCAAGGAATTAACTGAACAAGAAGAAAACAAAAATGTTGACAGCAGTGATTCAGAAGAAGAGCAAAAAGAACTTTCGATGGTGTTTGTAAAAAGGAGTTTGTCTACCATAACTGAAATAATGGATCAATTCATTGAAAATGATCCGAATTTTGACAGGAGCTCAAAAGTAAGGCGTGGTGTTAGAGATGCTCTATCCGTTTATGAAGAACTTTTAAGAGAACAAAGCAAAAGAAAAAGGCAAACAACATTAGATGCTTTTGTCACAAAAAGGCAGAACACTGAAAACGCGGAAGGCTAACTAAATATGACTGACTTAGAATTTTATTTGTTTTTTTTTTAAGAATATTCGTTTTGTTATTTATATTTTGTTTTTATTTTTGCAAGAAATAATAATGTGGTATTAATTTGGGCTTTAAGAAATAAATGTTTGGTTTTATTTTTATTAAAAAAACATACTTTTTAAATTTAATACCTAACCAATTTCCTAGCCATCTTCCCCTAACCCCAATATTTACATGTAAAGATAGCCTCGTTTAGCGCTGTTTCGCATTACGCTCTACTTTGATGGAACGTATCCCCCGCGTTAAGCAGGGTCTTACTGTATGGTAATTGTTTATTTGAACGTGATATAACATTTTGGCTATTGATATAAGGAAAGAGATGTCTTTTTGGAAAATTTATTAAGGGGAACTGGAAAAACTATAAAAACACACACATAACTAACCTCTTCAGTGGGATTTGATGCAGGTTGAATTGCCAAACTAACTGGTTACTGTTAAGTTAAAATAAATGGTTTTCACACTTTCACAAAAAATTTATACAGATTTCTAAAACGTAAAATTCTATTTTACTTAGGTGAAATCTTGCCTAAGCATATAATCAACAATATTTCTGCTTTCTGACATATATTTTGTAAAACATGGTTTGGCATTATCAACAGTTACAACACTGGAAAATGAACTAAAAAAGAGAAGAAAAACATTACTCCAAACATGGAATAACTAATTTATGATTTTCAGTTCTTAACCCTCTCAGCGTTACGGCCGAGAAATTCCTTATAGAAGGCTGCTTTCTATATTCATTACTTATGAAAATTTCTGCTAGCTTTTAATGTATCTCATTTTGGTTTGGATGTATATTGGAAGAAAAGGAATCAAGGATGAAATGAGAGAGTCATGTTTTAATTAAAATCAAGAAAATGCCATTTATTCATAACATTTTGAGGAACTTTTGAAATCTCTGGGCTAAACCAGTAATGCTCGGAGGGTTAAAAAGCATTTTGTTGATAAAGGATAAATTTTTTATATAATGAATTGTGGAAATAATTTCAGTTGTCCTACAGTTATAAGAAAAATGAAATTCTTAAATTACTTGAAATAGAAGTCTGGACGCGAAACACATTTCTATGTATCTTTTAACTCGCTAGTGATTATTTTTGCATTGTGTATTTTTTAAATGAGAAAAGCCACATGTTGTAAGAAAATTTTATACTTACATTTGTTTTCCACTAAATATCAATCTTTGTTGGGCAGGTGGAATTCCTTCCTTCTCTTCCACTCTTTCTTTTATTCTTTCAACCTGAAAAGCATTGCAAATTTTTAATTTTTAAGATACATTTTGAAAAGTGCCCTTTGTCTACTCTGAGGAATTTTTTTACCTGAAATCACAGCTGCACTAACAGCTTTCTAGGGATCAGACCTGTCTCAAAATTATAGCCTATGTATATTTTCATAAAATTTGCATTAATATTTATCTTATTACATTGGAATTTTTTACCTACGGCAAACACTCACACCATGACTTTGTATAAAATTACTTTTATATAAGTATGAAATTAAGAAATAAAAGGCAAATTTGACTTGTACATAATACACATATAGAAACACTAAATTATTTATTTACAAGCCATTCAAGATATTTTATTAATTTAATAGAGGTCACAGAAGCAAGACACTGCCTATGTGCAGCATGAACTACTAAAACATTCAAGATATTTTATTAATTTTATAGAGGACATGGAAGCAAGACACTGCCTATGCGCAACATGAAATACTCATCATACTTATCATCACAATAGACAGAGAAATATTGCATGAATTTTTAGCTACCTATGAATTTGATAGTATTTAAGATAAATGAGTTACATCACAAAAATCCCAATTACTATGATAAAAGATAAAAATGTCTACATAAAAAAGAGAATATCAATAAACACAGTTTTACTTCACATAAACTATTTAGTAGAATTTTAACAAAAGTCTCTCAAAAAATAATATCTTTCATTACACAAAGCTGAAATCCATAATTAATGATTTAGTTTAAAAATATATATTTTTTAAAGCTATGCAACATTTTAAAACAAATTACGGTACTATTCAGTTTCGAGGGCCGTAAAAAATCGCCAAACTATTGTTGATGCCAAGGTTGCCAAAAATAATTGCGGCAACCCTAATAATTGTGGCAAGAAAGGAAGTATAATAGTAAATAAGTATTTAAGATTGATGTTTTAATTTACATGAAAGGTTAATTTCATATAATACTTTTTTTATTATTATAATTTACATCAAAAAGGCTAAACATGACTGAATGGAAGTATAAGAGTAAAGAACTATTTCAGATCATTATTATAATTTATATAAAAATTGTTAAACATAACTGAATGGATGCCTGCATCGCTATTTCGCTACCGACTTATCGCTAAAGCATAATTTCATCTCGTTAGTTGTTCAAACGTAATTTTCTATAATGAATGATGCCTTTTCTTTGAAACCATTCTGGGTAAAGTGCAGAATCGCTCACTTATTTGTTTGCCGCTTTTTACAAGGGTAAAAACAATTAGATTTTTGTCAATTTTCTTTTACTTTTTAAGTGAAAATAGGTCGATGTGTACATAGATAAAGCTAAGGGTTTGCGCATTGCTATTTTTGTGCAATTCTAGGATTTATTTTTTTAAAGTGAAAATAAGTCTATGTGCACATGGATACCGAGTATGTCCAATTCTTAAAAACGCGTCGAGCAGTGGGTGATTCTGCGCTTTACCAAAATTCTATTGCCGACTTTTCGTCATGGGCAATTCCCAAATTGTTAAATCCATAGCATAACAAAAAAGGATTTAAAAATTAAACTAGTATTTCAATGACGTCTTAAGAAGTATAGAACTATATAAACTTATGCAATCTGAAATCCGCGCATTCAACAGTGTGCCAAATCTCTGTTAAATGGGCGCGTTTGCTAGATTTGGCGCTTTTGCGCGTACATATTCACTTGCAATTTTTTTACGGCCCTCGAAACCGAATAGTACCCAAATTACTTTTAATATAGTCATTTTGACATAAATAATATTTTTGAAAAATAATTGTATATATTAATTTTGAATTGATGTTGATTCCTAAATTATTACAATTTCTTTTCCTTTCCTTCATGCATTTCTCTGCTGCATTGTGAATTCATGTATGTATTTGCTGATTTGTACAGGAAACATTTTAAGAAAATGCTTGTAGAGTCATTAGGTTACTTTGAAGCAGAAGTACATGAAAATTATGCAATGCCCTCGCTGAGATTTGAATCTCTCGAATATGTGCTGAGTGTGCTGGCCATTACACCATGAAAGCATATAGAAAGGAGGGAGAGAATGCCTTATATACTACCTCCTCTTAAAGGGTGAATGGGGATTAAGGGACCCAATCGCCAAATATTAGGTATATCTGAAGCAGAATTCATGAAAAATATGCAATGCCCTAGCTGGGACTCTAACCTCTCAAATACATGCCAAGTGCGCTGGCCATTACACTATGAAGGCATGCAAAAAGGAGGGAGGGACTGGACTAACTTAGATCTTATTTTACATACTAGATGGCAGTACCCTTGATCTCAAGCTAAAAAAAAAATCCAAAAATTAAAAATGAATATACATATTGTTCATATACTTATTTTTAAACAACTTTCTTGAATAAAAAATATGCAATTTTAACTGCTTTGTTGAAAATCATGCGATCGTTAAAGGGTTAAAGTATTATTTATCTCAGATAATGTTCTAGGACAGCCAAATTCTCTGCAGAATTTATAACCGGAAATAAATGCTCTATTTCTTCCTTCCAAAACTACCTGCATTATACAGCCAACAGATCAAACAATGCCAGCTACATTTAAACAATGTCATACGAGGACAACAATGAATTGAGCTATCAAGGCTATTGAAGGTGGGCCTACATCATAGCTGTCAACCTCAAAATCTTAAAATCCAGGAGGATTGTTCACATTGCACAGCAGTATTGTTTCAAATGTACTCTAAACTGACATTTAATTTACATTACAATTCATGGTTCAGGTGACTGAATTATTTGTAATTCAGTTCTGATGTAAAACATATTAGCATTTGATTAGATATTCTATTTATATTTTTTTGGCAAATTTCCTTTCAAAATTTTTTTACACTTTTATACTCAGAAAACTAAGTAGCAAAGGAAAGCTTTTGCTTATCAAAGTACTACTTTTAAATACTTTAAAAAATGTCTGTTAATGGATACGATTTCTGAAGTTTTTGTGATGCTTTAGTACAGTGTTTCTTAAACTAAGGGTAGCAACCTTGAATGGGATTGCAAAGCGGAATGCTGGAGGCATGAAATTTAATTCAGATTCATGGTTTCAAGAAAAATTATTTGCAATCTTCATTATCTTTTAATTTATTACATTTTCTGTACAGTGCAACTATGAAATTGCATACTGAAAAATATCATTATATGCATCATAATAGCAGTGTTGCATTCCAGTTTCAGCAAATAAGTTATTTCAGAATCAAAATATGCTACGAAAGAGCCATAATAATGTTCTGCATCACATAGGCACTCAAGAGTAAGGTCAGCAAGCATAGTCGTAACACTTTTCTATTATAGTCAGTTGTTTCTTTTTCATCAATATGCTACGAAAGAGCCATAATAATGTTCTGCATCACATAGGCACTCAAGAGTAAGGTCAGCAAGCATAGTCATAACACTTTTCTGTTATAGTCAGTTGTTTCTTTTTCATCAGAGTAAGTATGTAAATTGCAAGAACAACACATTATTGTACTTAACTGTTTTACTTGACTGGACTAACTTAGATCTTATTTTAATTATTAAGTTGATATTTATTTGAATATTTAAATAAATATCAGAGATGTTATTTATATTTTAGTATATTAACTTTGTTCTGGATGGCTTTTTTCTTACTCATGGATCACTTTTATACATTCAGTAACAGAAATAATGATGCAGATGGCAATACTACGAAGTCTTCAAGCATGGTCTAGTAATCAAGAAGAGGCATGTAAGATTGGAAAAAGAAAATATAATGTTCTCGAATTTAGCTTTACTATCAACAACTGTGGTGACATTGAATAATCTCTTTGCTTACTGACTATGCAAATTATGAAACCATCAAAATTAAAATGGAATCTTGAATCCATATATATTATGAACTTTCATTTTGTCATCCTTTGGAAGAACATTCAGCAAAGGAAGACAATAGTAAAGTTGATAAATGTTTTCAGATTGAAAATTTAAAATGGAACCATTGCTTTGGAGTATGCACAGACAATGCAAAAGTGATGATCGATAATAAGGTGTATAGCAACATGCTAGTCCGTGTTGACGCTGCTATCAAGCAAACACATCTAATTGAATTCTGGCAAAAAAAGGCAATATTCCATCAAGATTATGCAAGACCACATGTGTCTGCATTCACCGGCTGAACTTGATACAGACTCGAATGGGTTCTTTTAACACACCCACCATATAGCCCCAACATCACTCCTTCAGACTTCTACCTTTTTTCACACCTGCAGCTGTATCTTGCTGGTGCTGTCTTCCATTCTGCACGGGATGTCCGACATGAGGACGATCTGTTTTTGTACATGGAAGTTTCTATGCCAAAGGCTTTGAAAAACTACTAAAATGTAGACAGAAAATCATAGCTTTGGGTGGTGATTACTATCTGCACTAAAGGTACTGCTTTCATGTTTTCCCCCCAAGTTTATTAAGAACGTTTTTTTGGCAGAAAACTTTTGTCACAACCACATATTATTTGGATCATTGAGGGTGGGAAATGCTTACCGTGGAGAAATTTTTATCTCTTTATTTATGGTACCTTTATAACTTAAAATTACCATCTTATTTTATCTGTTAAAATGTTTTTTTCAGGTGAATATATTAAATGGGTATGCCTTTACTAAATACATGTTGGCTTTTGCCTGTGAAAAGATCACAAATATGGATTGTAAATGTAAATATCCCATAAGCAGTGGCAAATGTTATGAGTAATAATAGTGACTTATGACCATAAAATGGATTGAAATCAGTTCTTCCTTTTCATACCGATTAAAGAAGAGAATAGCAATCTAATGTTTTATTTTAATTACCACATATAATCTTATTCTCTTTGGAAACATAAACTATGATTTCTCTATCTAAGACTTACACGACTTATCCCTATGTCTTCGAAATTACAATAGAGAAAGTGAATGGTGTAAAAGATTTATTTAAACTTAGATAAAAGTCAACAGAAGGCACTGCTTGAACCAGGCAGAACCAGCCAGCATTTATGGCTTAAATCAAAAAGTAAGAGAATTTAAATTAAAAAGGCTAAACAGACAAAATATTCACAACTGGCTCAAAAACCTAATGTAGCCGTGAGAATAACGCAACACCACAGATAAACTGCTGTCAAGAGAAACAAGTAGCAAACGTGGCCTTCACTAGGCAGAACATGCTCTGATTCTACCATCTAAAACATTCCTTTAAATAGTATCTCTTTCAACTTCGTTTGAATATGCACAAACTAGAAATTAGCATTCTGACAGGAAAATGGAAAGCGAGAAAGACAGAAAAGCTAATTAACCTAAAATAACTGGTTAATGAAACTAAATGTATACTCTAGAACTAAAAATATCTGTATTCTGTATAAATAACAACTTCTACTTTCATTTCAATTCTTTAATATTAAATATTATGTACGGGGAGCATTCTCATTTAAACCCATGAAAGAATAATTCTATGAATTTTTTAATAAACCTTTAACTGACATATAACTCCTCATTTTCTCTACATATTTAATAAATTTCTGACATCTTATTTTGAATATTTGATTAAAAAAAGACAAAGTCGGTTTGGTTCTAATTTTCAGGTATAAGCTGTGTAAATATGAAGCTGAATGACACTGCAAGATGCAGGATCTGTATATAGATCCCAACCGGCAGAAAAAATAAAAAAATATTATAACCATGAAAGCTATCATTTTTTTTTTTTTTGAACTGTAATCTTTCAAGTTCAGCTTCGTAAAAAATTCATGGCTTAGTAAAATTAATAAAATGAAATAAAAAATGGAACTGGAAATAATTTTTTAACTTTTACTGCCTAAAAGTGAAATGGGTGTTTCTGCTCTAGCAAAGAATTTAACCTTTTGAGGCCGGGGCTTTGGTAGCAGTAAAAGCTACCAAAGGACGGGGAATCTTGAACCGAATGCTTTCCCCCTTTAAGAAATCATCTCCTATTTGCAACAAAGATTCTTGTGTGTAGTTTAATGGATTCTCAGAGGGGTGCATCTATGTCGCAAAAGGAAGACCTTTGAAAGAGATAAGTGGTTAAAACCCTAGGGATGTCAAATTTGACATTTCACTCCACATTTCAGCCTGGAAATGGGGGAAAAAGACATGGCCACTAAAGTGGACAACCCTGTATTTTCAATGAGAGGACTCTATGGCCACTATAATGGCCATCCCGTCTTCAAAAGGTTAAGTATGTATCGAATGAATTTTCGTTGCAAAATACCATTCCATATCTTTGCAAACGTGCTATTTTAAAATTCAGTGCATCTTTTGGACTCGCGGCCACCAAGTTTCTGGGCTGAAAACTACTAAACTGTCGGCAGAAAATTATAGATTTGGGTGGTGATTACTACCTACACTAAAGATACTACTTTCATGTTTCATTTCTAACTTTAAAAACATTTTTTGGCAGAAAACTTTTGTTACAGCCAGATATAAACAATTTTCAATTAGTAATCATCACTGGCCTCAGATGCTAAAAAATTTACTGCATTCTCTAGCATATAAAGTTACAGATGTTGATATTGCTCATAAACTGCAACATTATTATACTGTTAAAATGTATCTAGATAACTCAGTTACATTATCCAAAAGTTTCTAATGAATTCTACTGGGGCTAAAGTTATTATATGATTACAATTATAAGTTTTTTATGGTGCGGATATATGTAATTATTACTTATGTAAAGTTAGAATCTAATTACTTTTTCCTGAACATCCTTCTTCTATACTTTACTCCTTTTGCAATTTATAAAACTTTCAAGAGATTCTGATGAATTCAATGTGTCATAAGAATAGCTAATAATTTTTTTTATTTAAGTGTGATTTGAATAAAATAAATTTTCAAATGGATAATTGAATATTTAGCTTAAAATCATGTAAGCTATCCTGTATGTGGTTGACATCCATTGTATCCCTAGTATTTTGCAAACTGCACAGTAAATATCAGATGCATATTTTTGTTTACAGAAATTTATAAAATTTTACAGTTAAATAACAGTATGAACATCTGCTGACATATATCTAACATTCTCTGATTAAAACAGGAAATAAACATACCTGAGTGAAAAAATTTGATAAAAATAAGGACAAATTAATCTGCTGTCCAAAACACTGACTGCATTACATACAGCAGCTTTCATGATATAGCAAACATAATCAAGATTAAGATTAGTCAATAAATTACAGAGGACCAAATTTACCTTATCTGTAGGCTCAATATCAATTTCTATCTGAAATAAAACATAAAAATTATCAAAAAAGATAATTTGAAATAATACTGTTGTTGTCATTACATTTGCAATAACAATATCTTTTTCAACATATTTTTAATTTCAGTTTTTACTATAAATACATTATTAAACATTTTAACATATTCAAATATAGTTTTTATAACTAGTATAAATATAGTTTTATAATTGTAATAGTATTATTTAATATATACATTAATTATTCAGAATATTCAATGTTTAAAGAATAGTTAAAATAGGTTAGAAACTATGCTTCCCAACAGAATGAGCATCTGCTTTAAGAATAAGATTTTCCTAATATGACAGAAGGTTTTATCATCAGTAAATCGGCTCTAGTGTAGAAATGAGTGCCCCTTTGATTAGCAACCAATTTTGTTCAATTTTGACAATGAAACCCCATTTCTTGTTACCATGATGGTTTAAACCATGCTTTAGCTTCCTGATTTTTTAAAGTGAAAATAGATCAATATGTATATGGACAAAGTTAAGGCAGTGCACAATGCCTAGTTTGTGCAATTCTTTACTTAATTTGGTTTTGTGTAGCGACCATCTTGAAATTGTGCCTTCCCGGTGTCAATTTTGACGTCAAAAAAGAATCTCCAAATCTATTTATGTCAATGTAAGCTGAAACATGTTTCTGTTGTGTAATCTTTTCTTTTTCCAATGTTTAATCATTAAAACTTTTAAAAATTGACAGATAAATGCGATGAATAAGCAACTCACAAGCAACATATGAATTAGATTATCTTATTATGCCAAAATACACTCATACTACTGGCCCATAAGAGGGGATTCTTTAGTGGAATACTTTTATTGGGAATAAATCCCTAAACCCCCCCCCAAAAAAAAGTTGATCCAGAAAAAGTTTCCTCTATCCAGAGAATTCCCCCTCTCAAAAACATCAAGGAACTCCAAAACTTCTTTCAAATGTATTCTTGGTTTAGATGATATGTACAAAACTGTGGAAATATCATGATCCCTTAGTGATCCAACAAAGAAAAAAGACCAATGGGAATGGGATTTCAGCCAGCAAAAAGTACTTGAAACTCTAAAATAATAGCCTCATAACACTTCCTGTGTTGAAGCAATCAAATGGAACTCAACCATACAATCTTCAAACTGATGCAATTAAGCACTTGGAACTGTTTTACTCAGGGGGAAGGGTTAAAAGTGCACCCTATCGAATATGCCAGCCAACTGCTTTCTCCGGGTGAGCAAAACTATTTGAAGACTGAACGAGAAGCTCTCACTGTTATCTGGGCCTTGAAGAAATTCTGCGGTTACATAAGAGGATCACAAGTAACTGTAGTATCTGATCATCAGCCTTTAACCCTCTCGCTGCGCATCCTGCGATTTCCACAAGCAACGTAGAAGTAGCAAAATTTGCGCAACCCGCGATTTCCGTGGTGATGAATTTTTGCCATCTATTTAATTGTGTAACCCGCTCTTTCCCTGTTCAAGGTTTCTTTTTGGCTTTTCTGTGATGTTTAATTGTTTATTTAGATGTGGGCAAACAGATGACATTAGTTGTTCACATTTCTGCCAAATATACAAGAATGCGTAATGTAGCATTTTGCGCTCGCTTTTCAGAGCTCAAAGATGTCTGGCAGGAAGCGTTTCGCGAGTGATACAACCTATATTCCTGACGATATTTCCGACACAGATAGTAGTTCTGAGTCTGATTTCAAGTATATTGAAGATAGTTATAGCGAAACTGATGAGAATTTCTCGGATTCCTCTGCAGAGAGTGATGAATCTGAAAATTCAGTTTCGATTGAAAATGTTCAACATTGGTGCAAAATTGATATGCAAAATATTACATTATGCCAATATTTTCATTACTATATATGTTTCACATTTGTATTTTATAAAATAAATCACAATTTAACCAATATTAATTTTCAAAATTTTCCTTTTATATCATTATTCTTCAATTTCAGTATTCTGACAACCTTTTTCTATGACCTAATTCTATATTGAAAAAAAAAAAAAAAAAAAAACCTTTTACAAAAGATTGTTATATATTTTAACTTTAAAATACATGCAGATTTGAAATATGTAATAAAAAATACGCAATTTTTGAAACTATTTTGATAAAAAGAGTACACAGTGAGAGGGTTAAAGAAGCTTTGAACCTCAAGTCTCCAATTAGTCATATCACATCTCATATCAGAGGGGAGACGCAGCCTTTGAAGGTTGTCCGACGGAAAATTGTGCCTGCTACCAAATCCGGTTTTTCTAATGTATGCTCTGTTAGGCCTATCCTGTCACACAATGTGACCACGTGCGTAGGCAGTTCGATTATAAGAGCATTTTTTAATGTTATTTCATCAGTTTGTAGTTTAGTGAATTGTGTTGAAGCATTCAAAGTATTTTATTCTGGTTATTTTATATTTCTGCATAATTTTAAGATATATGCTCCATGTCGGTTTTGCCAATACGCCTGATTGCTGAGTTAAGTAGTTCGCTATTTTGAAGTTGCAATAGTTAAATCTGTATATTAGATTAATTAGTTTAAGATTAATTAAAAAATATTTTGAGGATTTCGGATTTTAAAGGTGCTTATAGTTACCCCCAAGCTCTCGCTTCAAGCGACTGTCAGGGGCCTTAAGTGCTAACCACCTAGGCATCCGTTTGCAGAGAAGGCCATCGAGCCAGGGCTCTTATACATTATTGGTACAATCATGGATAGATAGATTCGGCATTGTCTCCGCCGGAAAACAATCTCTGCACAACAAAAAAATGGCGACGGCCCTTCAGCCAAAAAATATTGGACCGTCCTGTCCGACATCCAGGGTCAAAAGTCCCCTTCTTCCTCACTGTCCTTTCCCTCTATTTTTTTCTTTTTTAAAAAAAAATTATTATTATTTTCGTCCAACAAACCACCCAGCGCTCGCCAGTGATCGTTCCGTCGGACGAATTTTTTTCCCCAGCCAAACCTTTTCTTCTCCTGGGGCTATGGGCATTACAGCTCTGTTCCGCTTTTTTGGTGGATTGTATTTCTTTTTCATGCACGACATGGAGAGGCTTTTTGAACATTATAATACTCCAGATTTCTGAACTTGAATGCACCAGAGATAGTAATGGTTCTTTCACTGAAGATGAAAGTAAGTTCTACAATTTTCTGATACGTTCGCTTGAAATGATATAAGCTTTAGAAAAACAATATGGAAATAAGGATGATAAAAATGATCAGATTACACCTATTGCCAGTACCAGTCATAGCTATGATGTTGGCAGAGCTAGGAGCCAAATAACTACACTCAGATTCTACTGTGAGTGCAGATGAGGAAATTACCTTAGATAAGGACATCAGCTCAGATGATGAAAACCCTAAATGTAGGCAAGGAGACCAGACAGTTAGAACAAAAACGGGTTAATCTTTGGATTATGGTGACTTGGCGATTTTTTGGCAAAAATTTGGCAACCAACCCTGCTACAGCAACCTGCTAGTTTTGTTTTGGACGCCATTTTGTTTTCACGAAGTAAAGGCATTTTTTTTTTTTTTTTTTACTCAACATTTTTTCCAACAATCTGCTAGCCGAATTACACTTATACTAGAACTTTTATGGAACAAAAATGCTTAATCATGACAAAGATTAGGTGCAAAATTGGGAGAAAATGCAGAATCGCAAACTGCTTGCTGCATTTTTAAGAATTGCACATACATGGTATCATCCATGCACACGTCGACCTATTTTCACTTAAAAAAAATCCCAGAACTGCACAAAAATGGCGTTGCGCACACTCTTGACTTCATCCATATACACTACTAAAGTCCTAGCTAGTAACTTTTATTGGTACTTACGTATTATCGCAACCAGGTTGGCGCGATTTGTAAGTTTGAGTAAAAATGTATGAATAGAAAGAAAATGTACATTTATTAATTACAGATAATTTTTAATACAGTTTTTTATATTACTTTGTTTTAAAATATAAAAGAGCAATTAAACCCTTCTGGTTTCGAATTTGAATAAGTTGCAGAATTATTTTTTTGGCGGAAATCTTTTGGCTATTGCTTTTAGCACTGATTGAAAACCGTCTTCGCCATTAACAGCTTGAGCTTGGTGCCATATAAATTCGATATTGTGATTAACAGTTCCATGCAGAAATCCAGCATTTTCGAACTCACTTGTATTGTATCCTATACGAAAAACTACGTATAACACGTAGGATTGTTGTAAGTAGGGTCGCCAAATTTGGCGATTTATGCGAATTTTGGCCTGGTTGCGTTAATATGTAAGTACCCTTTTATTGCCTTACCAAAATGTTGCCAAACTACCTGTTACCATATTCCAAAGATTAGCCCAAAAACGTATTGACAGGCAGCTAAAAAAGTTAAGTTTAGCTCACATACACAGATAATCTCACTAATAATCATGACTAATAGTAACAAAAATAAGGGCACTAACGAAACTACCACTGTACACTGGATAGTGCCACTCAACCAGAAAATATAAACATTGATACCACTCAAAATGATGAAGTGCAAAATGTCATAGATAACAACACTACTCAAGCAGCTAATACGGAAACAAACAAACCCAACATACTGTCTCCAATTATTCTTAAGGAAACAAAATATACATGGAGCAAAATTAAACAAAACTTTCATCAACATAAATATCAGGAACAGAATTAAAGTAATAGCAAATAACATAGACAGTTATAGAGGAATTGTCAGACTGTTAAAAAACTAAATGTAGAACACCACTCATACATACTCCCCGAGGAATAAAAATCTCAAAGTAGAGTTGAAGGGCTTGCTTCTCAGCACTGAAATAGAAGAGATAAAAAGCGACCTTGAGAGCTTAAAATATAATGTCTTAGATATCAAACAGATGACCAGGAGGAGAGAAGGTGAAGTAATTAAACTTCCCTTATACTTAGTTACCTTGCGAAGACAGAAGCCTCAGTGCAATGGGTTGAATGATTTCCTCTTGCTCAAGCTATAGCATGCAACTGCACTATAACCCTCATTGAAAAAGTATTTCATGTGGCATTGTACACGATGAAGAATCATCAGCAATAACGGAACCCAGTTTATCCTTGCCGTAATGCAACAAGTTTTGTACATTAAATATTTACATTACATTTGTGCATTAAATATATCAAAATTTGATACTAGTCTATTTCACTCAGACTGGTATCAATATTTCTGTTTCACTTGATTTCATCCAGTTTCACTCAATCAAATCAAGTGAAACAGAAAAATAGAGACCTAAAACCTTGTCTTGCAATCATTGTAGAAGATGCTCATAAGACCATATGTGACACTACAGGCCATGCACCAGCATTCCTAATGTTTGGAAAACAGTCAAGGACTGTCCACGATTTCAAAGCTATGGTCGAAAATGATAACTTTGTTCCTGAAATCAATCACTCCTTATCTTATTAGCCTTTTATGGAAAATAAGTCCCAGATTTTAATCATTCTTGAACATGTGAAAGAAAAACAGACACACAACAGCACATTGTTTTTATATTCTAAAAATTTGGGTTAAAAACTGAACCTTATCGCATTTCACATGCACAAATAATCTAAAGAATTATGTTAAGAACAGTTTTGAGAAACATGTAATAAAAAAGTTTAATTTCGAAAAACATTAGTTAAATGTGCGATTCACAGTTCAATGGCTGTAACCAGCCTTTTCAAGGTCATTTGTTTTATATGGCTTACTAACAATCCGAATATATTGTCAATCCTTCCAGTACATCGTCTACAATCGCTGATATTCGTGTGCTTGCTTTCCAATTTAGCACTTGAACTAGAAAACTCTCGTCACTTTCACACCATAATCCTGCCAGCATTATTTTTTCATTGCATGAACATACTTTCATCAATTTTGACTATTTTTCCTGGGTACTCATCCTTTAGATTGTCAAAGCAAATCTAGTGGACAAACCTCTCTCATAAAATTGTTCCAGTCAATTGTGGCATTTTGACATATGTTGAGCTGTCTATCGCACCATTTAAGAGACATTAAATTTTCTGCCCAGCAGATGAAATGCAGCACTATTAAGAATGGTACTCTGGAACCATTAAATTAGCTATCAGATTGAATGCTTTTTCTTTGTTTACAACTTTTCACATTGCACCTCCACATACTTTTGTTTACATATAGTTCCGGGTAGAGTTGACTTTAAGGTACCCCTTGTAATTATGGTGAAGTTGTTGTTTGATTTATCGCCAAGTTGATGTTTCATTTACGGTAGCCTGAGTAGTTGAATGTTATATAAACCCTCTTGTGACGTAATTGGGTGCATGATTCTGGGAAATTTTAAATCGTGGGATGTTTCATAAGCGTTTTTGTGGTGTGTGTTGGTGTGATTCTTTAGACGGTAGAATGGCCGAATGTAGTAAGATTAATTTGAAGTTTCTATACGATTTGGAGCGAAAGGGGAAAAGAGCTTTATTTGACTGGTGCGTAAATGAAGGTTTACTTAGTTGCCATTATAAGTGCCCTGTATGTAGGAAGCATATGCGTCTAGTCGAATGTAAAAACCGTTTAGATGGATTTGTAGGAAGAAAGGTTCAGATGGTCACTATGTGAAGCGTTCAATCAGAAAGAGTACCTGGTTTGAAAAAAGTCATTTGAGTATGATTGATATTTTGATTTTTACGTGGCTCTGGGTGTACGAAGCAAACTCGAAAATCATGGTAAGTGCATATTTACTTTTGGTAGTGCTTAAATGTATAACATGTTTTTTCCTTTTTCATGTTATTTTATTGTTTGGTTTAAAATGTATTTTAATGAGATTATGTATTTTTTGTTTGCCTATACTGTAGAATTTGGTGCTCCTTTGACTTTTTAAGTGTAAATATGTCGATGTGTACATGGACAAAGTAAAGGGAGTGCGCAATGCAAGTTTGTGCAGTTGTTTGTCTTGTTATTTTGGCTTTGTGTAGCGGGGATTTTTGGTAAAAATCGCCGCTTCGCAAGCAAAAATAACGAGTCAAAGAATTGCACAAAATCGGTATCCATGTACCGCAAAAAAATCGCCAAGGGGTACCCTAAACTATACTTTTACCATAGTTCCTTTTCATAGCCATGTATGCACATTCGATTTCGAGTTAATACATCTTTTTCTGGAAGAGCTACGGCATCTTCCTCACCCCTCAGTGAATTAAAAATTTCCAACATTTTTTAATAATGTTTAATTTTAAAAAACCTTTTACACTATCACACAGTTCATCAACTTCAGCAAATAAGAGTCAAAAGTGAAAGTGCTCCCCCCCTTTTTTCTATAGTTTAGCAGAGGTTGTGAAAATCAAATAACAAAAAAACATATCAAGCTTGGCTTATCAAGGATTAATTGGGATTACATAAAGAAAAGGCAAAGATCTTCTGATGTCACACATAATTGGTACTAAATCTCAGGCTTGGCAATAGTTGTTTGTTGAAAATGGTTGATAGGAAAATATGCAACTACCAAACTTTCACCAGTTTCATCAAAAATGTTCAGATATTTATGTTAAGATTTTATTTGAAACAGAAAAGATGTACAAATTTACATTTTCTTCATTCAAAGGTTAACAAACACATAAAAAATATTGATATATTTGTTTAAATCTCTAAATATTAAAAGGAAATACTTACTTCTTTTCCAGTAAGAGTCTGTAAATCCATCCATACCATGGAAGAGGAAAAAAATAAATAAAATTAAACTTTTTTAATTAAAGATTTCATATATACAGATAATTATGATCATACATATTCTGCATTATTATACAATGTTATTGCCAGTCATTATGATAATTATAATCATAAATATCTAATAGTCTACATCCTCTGCAAAGTAAAAACTTTAAATAAAGAGCGAAGCTACTCATAGCAATAACCCTCAAAGGTGCAAATATAGGGTGTCCCAACTAAAGTTCCAGATTTAATACAATACAAAGTCTGTAACCTGGACTCGTCGGGACTTCGGCGATTCTGGATTAGGGGTTTTTCCAGATTATAGATCATCAAATTTAAATCTGGTAAAATGGCATGCGGAAATTATGCTATTAAAAATATGAAACCATAATTTATGAAATAAAAAGCAATTATGATCTAAAGGGGGTTGATCTTTGGATTATGGTAACTTGGCGATTTTTTGGCGACCAACTCTGCTACAGCAACCCTCTATTTTTTTTTCGCTGCCATTTTGTCTTCACGAAGTAAAGACATGTTTCTTTTCTTTTTATTTACTCAACACTTTTTCCAACAATCTACTAGCCGAATTACACTTATGCTAGAAATTTTATGGAACAAAACTGCTTAATCATCACAAATATTAACTGCAAAATTGGGAAAACATGCACAATCGCAAACTCCTTACGAGTTTTTCAGAATAGCACATACACATAAACCATTTACACGTCGACTTATTTTTACTTAAAAAAACATCCCAGAATTGCACAAAAAATGGCATTGCACACACTCTTCACTATATCCATGTACACTGCTTTTTTCTCATAAATTAGAAAAATTTCACGAAAATGCATGAAAATACTCAACGTATTCCAAAATACTACAAACATATAACTCACAAAATCACGATCATTAAATTAAAATATAATTAAATTAAAAAACACTACTTAAAATATAAATAAGCACATACATTACATTAATAAAAATTAGGGCTTATCTTTGGAATATGGTAACAGGTAGTTTGGTGACATTTTGAAGGCGATAAAGGTTACTACCTAGAACTTTGGAAATAATGTGAGAAGTACTCAGTTCCGATTCCGCATTATTTTGTGTGAGGGGAAATGAGAGATCATGAGATATGGTCATGTGACATTAATGGACAAATAAATTACAGTTCTTTAATCGGAAAAGGGGGTAAATTGTGGAAAAACATCTGCAGTACTATAGCATGCAGTATTAAGCTTCATTGTGTGTTGTGAAACGAGTGTTGATTAATTTTTGGATCGCATGGCGCTATCTAAAGTGAATTCAAAATTTTTAATGCGAAATTATCTGATAATTGCAAAAGAATATGTGTTGAATGGTATAAAAAATGTAGGATTAATTGCGGATAAGTATGAATGTCCAACATGTGGTATAAAATGAGATTGTGTGAAAGGAAGGATATTACAGATAAGTTTGAATGGCGGTGCAAGAAATCTGGTGAAAATGGACATTTGTGATGCGCCATGCACTCAAGATTCTGTAGAGAGATTAGGTAAGTTAGTATTTTTAATTATTTGAGGATATTATTTTTATGCATTGTTCTAAATGTAGGGAGTAAATAAATTAATATGGTATTATTGGAAAATTGTTATTAGCAATGATTTAGTTTAAAGTAATTAGGATTGTAAGCTAGTTTTTATTAATTTAATGTATGTGCTTATTTATATTTTAATTTAATGATTGTGATTTTGAGAGTTGTATGTTTGTAGTATTTTGGAATACGTTTGAGTAGAAGCAAATGTGCATGGAAAGAATTTAAGTATTTGGAACCATTTTTAATGTTTGCGTTAGAAATTGGTAGGTGAGGTTTATAAATAGATAATTTAGAGTGAAAAGGTTTTGGATATTTTATTTATTTTATACGTGCAAATGTTCATCCTTGGAAAGGGTATATACTTTTTCGTGATCAGGTTTCATATATGTCCTTTTTACCAAATTTAAAGATTTACAGAATTTTCATGCATTTTCGTGAAATTTTTCTAATTTATGAGGAAAAAGCAGTCAGTGTACACGGATATAGTGAAGAGTGTGTGCAATGCCATTTTTGTGCAATTCTGGGATTTTTTTTAAGTAAAAATAAGTCGACGTGTACATGGTTTAATTATATTTTAATTAAATGATAATTATTTTGTGAATTATACGTTTGTAGCAATTTGGTATATGTTTTAGTGGAAGTAAACGTGCATGGAAATAATTTAAATATTTGAGACTAAGTATTTGTAACCATTTTTAATGTTTTGTCATAGATTCGTTGGTGACGTTTATAATAGAAAATTTAGAGGTAAAAGTTTTTGGATATTTTATTTATTTTATACCTGCAAATGTTTATCTTTGGAAAGGGTATATACTTTTTCGCGATCAGGTAATTTCATAATTTTCTTTTTACCGAATTTAAAGATTCACAAAATTTTCATGCATTTTCGTGAAATTTTTCTAATTTATGAGAAAAAAGTAGTGTACATGGATATAGTGAAGAGTGTGCGCTATGCCATTTTTGTGCAATTCTGGGATTTTTTTTAAGTAAAAATAAGTCGACGTGTACATGGTTACTGTGTATGTGCGATTTAGAAAAACGCGGCAAGGAGTTTGCGATTCTGCACTTTTTCCCAATTTTGCAGTTAATATTTGTCATGATTAAGCAGTTTTGTTCCATAAAATTTCTAGCATAAGTGTAATTCGGCTAGTAGATTGTTGGAAAAAGTGTTGAGTAAATAAAAAGAAAAGAAACATGTCTTTACTTCGTGAAGACAAAATGGCAGCGAAAAAAAAAAACAGGGTTGCTGTAGCAGAGTTGGTCGCCAAATCTTCGCCAAGTTACCATAATCCAAAGATCAACCAAAATTAGATTACAATCCTAATTACTTTAAACTAAATCATTGCTAATAACAATTTTCCAATAATACCATATTAATTTATTTACTCCTTACATTTAGAACAATGCATAAAAATAATATCCTCAAATGATTAAAAATACTAACTTACCTAATCTTCAGAATCTTCATTATGTGGCATGCACACTTCCACTATTTCACACAACACACAATGAAGCTTAATACAAAATAATATAGTACTACAGTTTAACCTGGCATTTTATCACTATCAATTCATTTCACAGCTTTGTTTGACTGACACGGAGCCACATATCGTTAACCACATATACACAAAGGAACAGCAAATTTCAAATGTGAAAACTAATTATGAGAATGGTGAGAGTTATGCACAGACTGTTCTACAGCTTCGTGCAATTTTGGATGTGAAAGCGTACTTAACTCTTTCGCATCGAAGTCGCCCGTAACGCCCGTTCATTCAGGCAATAGCAAACCGTCCCAACGCCTTGTTTATTTTCTACCTAGTGCTTTCCCCCTCCACGTAAGTGTATGGCTCATTGGTTTCGCGAGTTGTTAAGAGACATGTCAATCATTCTTTTGAAGCAACTAAAGGAGACATACGGAAAGGTATTAACGTTCGCAGGTGCAATCTGGCTCTAAGGTGAAACTGCACACAATGGATGAAACTGCTGAAAGAGAGAAACAGTCATTTCCCAAGAGAGAAACAGTCATTTCACTTAAGTAGGTTATTGTTAATGCTGTAGCTATCTACCAGGCAGGGGGAAAGGAAAACTATTCCAAGACAAATTCGTAAACATGGGCGTTTTCGATGTTTGATGAAAACAGATTTGGTCGTCTCTTGATGCGAAAGAGTTAATGAAACAACAGTTCACTGATTGATAAAGAAATCACATTTGAAAGTATACATTAAATCACCATGCTCATGATCCTGTCAAACTGTTAAACATTGCTGTTGTGCAGGACAATGTTATTGCAAGTCTAAAAAATCTGAAGATACAAGAGGAAATTGGACATGTCAATAGCCACCTTTGATAGGCAGATATGTGAATTTTTGATTACAAATTTCATCAAAAGAGTTCAGTATTCTAGAACACGTCATGGGGGACTTATGCTGATACTATTTTTCATTCTTAAATAGAAACATTTATGTAAAAATGTTCCTTGTTTTTCTAAAAATAAAGCATTTTATTGTAGCATATTTAATACAACACTTGTACGAATACTCTCTACTTCTTTTGGAAAGTAAATAAACTCTATTATTGAACATGTTCTCTAATCTTCACAGAAGACCAAAATCATAAAAATTGTAGGCAGTCTTGGGAATGTTTCCTTTTACAGTATAAATAGCAATTCTTAATAACCATAATTCATTTACCCACATTATTCTACTTGCTAAAATAATGACTCACGAAGCAATACATCTTTACATATTTTAACACATAATCCAAATCCTCATTTTTTCAGCTTGAAAGATAATACATTGCATGCTGATTTTATTTAATACAAAATTAAATTTACATAAAAAAGTCCCTCCCCCCCCAAAAAAAATAAGATAACACAAATAAAAAAAGGGAGTGTAATATGAAATGAGAACTTCATGTCTGCAACCTGATGAAGATACTTCACAGTTTTAATGTTGCAGTATTGTTATGGGAGAGGAATTTGTATAACGAGAATATTAACTTTAGCTTTAAATTTTTGCTTACTTTCGAGAAATGGTAGCTGTCCTTTCACATACACATTTATTTCAAGGTCCACATTAATGCAGACCCCAAACCTTTACATTTTTTTTTTTTTTTAATAGCCATTCTTACCATTATATTTGATAAATGACATTGGGATACCCCTTGCATTATCGCCAAGTTGTTGTTTCATTTATGGTAACCTGAGTAGTTGAATGTTATGGAAATCCTATCATGAAGTAATCATTTGCATTATTCCGGGAAATTTTTAATCATGGGATGTTTTGTAAGGGCTTGCTTTTGTGGTGTGTGTGATTAGGAAGTGCATTGCTTGTTTCGACGGTAGAATGGCTGAATGTAGTAAGATTAATTTGAAGTTTCTGTACGATTTAGAAGGAAAGGGGAAAAGTGCAATTATTGACGAGGTGTGTAAATGAAGGCTTACTTAGTAGCCATGTTCCGGACAGTCCAGAATACGTGGGATATTTTTTACTCTTATTATGTGGCGATGCCGATATATGGATTCTAGTTCAGATAATTTTAGGAAGTTTTTGGATACTGTTAAGGAATTTTGTGTGCCACAGACTGAACACGAACGAATTTCTAAATAAGGTAAGTTTTTATGTTATTTTATCATGCTATTCCATTGTTTGGTTTAAGAGGTAGTTTAGTGAGATTATGTATTTTTTTCTTTGCCTCTACTGTACAATTGGGTGCTTCTCTGTGCAATTGACGTTTTAAGCGAAAATATATCGATGTGTACGTGGACAAAGTCAAGGGATTGTGCAAAGCCTAGTTTGTTAAATTTTCTGATGTTTTTTTAAGTGAAAATAGGTCGATGTGTACATGGATAAAGTCAAGAAATTACGCAATGCCATTTTGGTACAATTCTGGGATTTTTTTTAAGTGAAAATAGGTTGATGTGTACATGGATACCAAGTTTGTGCAATTCTTGTTATTTTGGCTTTATGTAGGGGTGATTTTTGATGGAAAAAATCGCCGCAACGCAAGGCAAAATAAGTCAAAGAATTGCACAAACTCGGTATCCATGTACCTCCAAAAATTGCCAAGTTTCGCCAAGGGGTACCCTAAAATATAGTTTTACCGACATTGGTTCAGATTTGATAACACTGATGGATTAATTTACAGCTTTAACTGACTATGTGTAACTATAAATTATACATTAAAAAAAATTCCTTAAATTACCACAGTAAATGTTTATCAAAAGATAAACTTGTTCTCATTTAACTTTTTTATTTGTAACTTCCTCCAAGTTATGCAAGAAATACGTTCCGCAAACCTTTAACTCCTTCGCATCGAAGTCGCCCCAAATGCTCGAGCATTCAGACATCGGCAGGTTGCCTGAATAATTTCCTACCTGGTGCTTTCTCGCCATTACGTTATTGCATTGCTCATTGCTCTCAGATGTTGTTAAATGAGATGCCAATCATTCTTTTGAAGTGACTAAAAGTAGTTCTGTTATTTTAATGAACTTTCTTTTTCCTTTGTTTACTGTCAATGTTTAGATATTGACGACCAAAGTTGCAATCCTGTTCCAAGGGAGAACTTCACACAGGGTCAAAGCATCCATAAAAGAATTTCTCGCTTTACTTAAGTAGGTTATTGTTAGCGCTGTAGTATTCAATTTCTAAAAGTAAAAATATTCCGGAAGAAATTCGTAGACAACGGCATTTTCAATGTTTGAGTAAAAGAGATTTGGCACTTTCTTGATGCGAAAGAGTTAAACAACTTGAATACGACACAGCTTCAATTAGCCCAACATGTAAATTGATTAAGCATAAATAAAAAAAAAAAAAGCAATATTGGAAAAAGTATATTTAGAGGTACCACCTTGGCGAAAATTGCCGATTTTTGGCAGCACATGGGTACCGAGTTTGTACAAATATTTGACTTGTTATTTGTCTTTGTGTAGCGGCAATTGTCAATGAATTGCACAAACTCGGTATACATGTACACACTGACCAATTTTAATTAAAAAAAAGCACAGAATTGCACAAACTAGGCATTGTGCACTCCCTTGACTTTATCCATGTACACGTCGACCTATTATCACTTTAAAAAGTATCAGAGAATTGCACAACAAACTTGGCATTGTGCACTCCCTTTGTTCTCAGAAATCTGTTTGACGACACTTTGGTAAGGCGATAAAGGTTACTAGCTAGGACTTTAGCAGTGTACATGGATAAAGTCAAGAGTGTGCGCAATGCGATTTTTGTGCAATTCTGAGATGTTTTTTTAAGTGAAAACAGGTCGACGTATACATGGATACTGTGTATGTGCAATTCTTAAAAACGCGGCAAGCAGTGGGCGATTCTGCACTTTCTCCCAATTTCGCACTTAATCTTCGTCATGATGAAGCACTTTTGTTCCATAAAAGTTCTAGCATTAGCATAATTCGGCTAGCAGATTGTTAAAAAAATTTTGAGTAAAAAAAAACCATGCCTTTACTTTGTCAAAACAAAATGGTGTCAAAAAAAAAAAAAAAAAAAAAAAACTAGCAGGTTGCTGTAGCAGGGTTTGTCGCCAAATTTTCACCAAGTTACCATAATCCGAAGATTAACCACTTTGCCATACTGAGCAAAGTCGATTGTGAAAATACATTAAGTACCCTTTTTTCTAATTGGGAAGTTTCAGTTGGAATTTTATGGCTTTTGTGCAACCAAGCACATCACAAAATCATTGTACATTGAGAGTCAGTGCATTTATACTTGGAAATTCTCAGATTGCAATGTGGTTAAAGTACATCATTATTCTGACTAACAGGTTAAGGATTTATATTATTAATATTTTGATTACATTAGATGTATGATGTATAGTTTATTTGTAATGCAAACTACTAGATTGAAAATTTTAATTCTATTCGAAATGCATCAATATTTCATATAACAGCGCTACCTGAACATCTATCTATTTTATCAATGTAAATCGCTTTGGATCACATTTACGGTATTAGCTTATTTTAAACGAACTTCCTTGAAAGTACTTTTCATTAATGGCTTAATTTGCTTTCATTAAAGTTGCTTGTTTACCACGACAAGCGATACATAGTAACTTCAGTTGCTTAACAGCTTACATGATTACACGACTTTTATTAGCGTGATATTACGGTGCTGCAATATGCTCAAACTAGACTGATAATAACAAAGTGTTTTGCGTGAAAATGAAATCATTATTAAGAACAATTATTGCCTTTCGGTTAAGCTGGATGTTTTAGCAAAAAAACTACAAAAGACAGAGTTAAAAGTTTCCTTACATATTAAAAAAAAAATTATGCTCACCTTAACTTTAATTAACATGATTGATTACTAAATTTCAGTACCTGAAATTCACATATATAGCACTAAATTGACGTCAAACAGCAGTTAACGGCAAGTGCTTGCGTTGCCAATCTCATTTTTATTAATGTATAACTAAATGGATAACAGCTCGATTTAAGGCTGAATTCTCAGAGTATTCGACGAGAAGTCGATACGAGTAACCGCTTTGGATCACATTTACGGTATTAGCTTATTTTAAACGAACTTCCTTAAAAGTACTTTTCATTAATTCATGGCTTAATTTGCTTTCATTAAAGTTACATTAAACTATTCTAACTGCTGCTTGTTTACCACGACAGGCGATACACAGTAACTTCAGTTGCTTAACAACTTACATGATTAAACGACTTATCGACGAGAACTCGATACGATCGTGACGTCACAAATGATGCGTTTTCGTAAGAAGGGAAATTTTGCAACGCCACTCTTTACGTACAAAGAAAGCAGTGCTCCCTTTTACTCTACATCTGGAGAAGTAAACAAAATGAGCAGTGTAAATAAAATAAGACGAATATATTAAGCCCAGTGGTCTATATCTTGATACTCGAGAATATAATACGATCTTCGTCGACATGCTTCAAAAATTATTTTCATGGGTTCCTTCCTCAATTTTTTTGGGATTCTCCGCTATGCCAATTATAACTGTTGCAAATCTCAGGGCTACAACGTGCAGGCTACAAATTAAATAATCATAGCAGAGATTATTAATATAAAGATTTAATATGTATATCTCACACAAGCTCAAAACGTTACATTACTCTAACTAGTGCATACATATAAATGAGTGAAAAAGGGAATTTCCCCGCTTAGTTCGCAGTTAAAGAAAAAAATAAGAATAATAAAAAATAGTCCGATCAGATGCGGCTCTCGATTTCGCTAAGCCGTTACGTAATCGTCTGTCTGCAGCAGCCGTCTCCAACATTCTCCCCCTCTTTGAGTCGACTTCAGGTTGGCTCAAAGACATACAATACCTGGTCGAAGAGATCCAATTTCTGAAACACCTTGATCACACGTCCAAATCTTGACACTTTAGCACCTTGCAGGATGTTACTGAATCATTTGAAGAGTCATTAGAATCTGATTGCTCATCACTAGAAATAGAAGAAATGGGATTAGTAAAGGAGTTATCGTGTATGGGATCAGTGGGTGTGTCCGTTAACTGCACTTCCAATGGAAAGACTCGCTGAATGGATAAAGCAGCGTACCAGCTAGAGTCTTTAGTTCTACAGTTCTCACCTTGCCATCTTTCCCAGGAATTAGTCGAATGACCTTAGCTAAAGGCCAATGCACCCGTTTTTTACGTCATCTCCTATTAGAACAATTTCACCCAACCGTAGCTCTGATGATGGATCCTTCTTATTTTGGACCAGAAGGCCTAAATATTCTTTCCTAAATCTATGCCTTAAATCATTAAGTAGTTCTTGGAGATGTCTAGCCCTTTTTCGAGGACCTTTCGAATCGCAGAAATCAACATCAGGAACACCTAAGCTACGAGTCTTGATGAGAAACAAGACTGGGAAAAGTGAGATTAAATCATCCGGATTTTCTGATAGAGGTCTAGAGTTAATTATTGACTCGCAGTCACACAATACTGTGTACAACTCCTCGGTTGTAAGAACCGCGTTACCGAGTGTCCTTCTCAACAGTTCCTTTACTACACGAACTAACCTCTCCCACCAGCCTCTTGAAAGCATATCTGTCGGGTTTAAATGACATGGTGAAACCCGGCAGATATGGGTGCCAACACTGAGAAAGAATCAGACTGTTTATTTCTTTTACCCTATTCGCAACGAAAACTGACCAATCACCACGGTTCTTAATCCACCAGAGTGCTGCCACAGAATCACTCCATGCAATAATTTTCAAATAAGGCAAGTCTAAGGCGGCGTATACTGAGTGAACCAGTCTCGCGCCAATGCAACAGGCCATCAATTCTAACCGGGGTATTGTCAGAGATTTTAACGGCGCTACCCTGGATTTGGCTCTGATCAATCGAATTTTGACTCCCACGGACGTTACAGTTCTAATGTAAACACATGCACCATAGGAGCTCTTACATGCATCAACGAATAGATGCAGCTCTGAATTCTCATTTATCTCTACATATCGTGGAATACTAATTTTCTCAAGATATTTAATTTCATCCTGCCACTTCTGAAAAGTTTTCTGAATGTTATCTGGCAAGGGGTCATCCCATTTTAATTTCATAGTCCAAGCCTCCTGTAATAGTAACTTAGGTAACAAGGTAGTTGGACTCAAAAAACCCTGCGGATCAAAAATTTTATGTACCATAGCCAAAATATTACGTTTACTTACTTATCTCATTATCCATTGAATAATTAAGATTACATTTTAATGTATCGTTATCCAAATACCATAAGATTTCAACAAAAGAAGTTTTACCTGAACTAAGGGAAATACAATGATCTGGAACATTACTTTCCCAACTCCGTAGGTTAAAACATCCCCGAGCCATTACTTCTGTAGCCTTAGCTATAAAACTTTCTTGCTGTTTGATATCGTGAACCCCAGTGACACAATTGTCAACATACATAAAACGAATGCTTTAATTTTTGGGTCACATCGTCAAACTCGGCAGGGGAATTATCCAAGAGATGCTCTATCGATGCAGAGAGTTGGAACGGAGATGAACAAACGCCGAACACCACTCTGCAGTGTCTGTAAATCATAGGTTCTTCAAGAGTTGGAAGAAAAAAACCTCAAATAATCTCTGTGTTCTGGGATAATACTCAGCTGAAGAAATGCTTTTTCTATGTCCGATGATAAACCAACGGAATACAATCTAAACCTGTCAATTATATCAGGTATGAGTTCAATTAAGTTCGGCCCTCTATTTAAACAGTCATTTAGGGATGGTTGATTTCTCTCTCGGGCTGAAGCGTCGAACACCGGCCTTACCTTCATTGTCTGGCTAGTATGCTTTATAACAGGTCTATGGGGCAAATAATAACTCAAATTATCAATTTCAGTTTCAGGAACCTTTTCTATTATTTTAGGTCTTCCCATTGCTTAAAAACTACCTTATAGTCATCTAACTGATTTTCCTCATTAATTCGTTGACACATTCTTTGATGCCTTTTAAAAGTCATAGACTTATTGTTAGGTAACAGAATTTCAGATTTAAAGGGTAGTGGCAATTCATATCGGCCATCAGGAAGAACATTTAAATTCTCTTTAAATTGCTTAACGGTGTCAGAGCGAGCATGTTTACGTTTAACATCTTCAGTTGGGTCTGTTATGCCAATGGCAACTAAATTCCAGAGTTCGGTTACGCTAAGATTAGCACAATGCAACGAAACTAAATTATTGAAAAAAATTATTTTGTAGTAATACTGGAATAGCAGCTGAAGTAGGTTCTTTAGATAAGCTGTTTACTTTACCAATCATATTGTAACCGAATTTAGTCTCAACTACAGTTACACCAGAGTTCAGTTTCAGAGAACTGCCAGTAATAATGTCCCCAATGGCATCTGCTCCTAAAAGCAATTCAATGTCATATTCTTTAGCTTGCAAATCAGACAAGGTAATATTTCTTTCTTTTAATTCTTTTAGGGTATTGGGATCAACTACTTTTGGAACACATCCACATATTTTGTTTTGAGAAAGTACTTCAAAGTCATAAGTGCCCTCAAAATTTCTTAAATTAACATCAAACACTAAATGTGAATGAGGACTTGTCTCTCCCCCCCAAACAAACCGTGTATAATTGCTTTGTTTCGATTTAGGACGCAGTTGTAAAAACGCGATAACCCTTTCTGAAAGATAAGATTTCTGAGAACCTGGTTTTCTGAAAGCGGTTACGTAATCGTCTGTTTGCAGCAGCCGTATCTAACAATAACCTTTTATACTTTTTAGGAACTATCTTGGTGAACTATTAAATCATTTTATGATGGTATTACTTGGCAGTTATGAACAACTTTGTCACACGATCTAGATTATGTTTTTTTGGTAAGGACACAGGGTTTCTATTTTTTTTCATCATAACCAGTGGCGGCTCGTAATAAGCACTGTGGAACTGCAGCAACCCCTATTTCCACTTATTATTATTTTTAATACTTAATATAGTGTGTCTTTAGTCTTTAATTCTTTTTTTATACTTTTACAATACATAATCCTTAAGCTTAATGTCAGTAGCGATCCCCTACTTTGTGAAAAAGGTACGAAATTCTTTGTTTGGAACTGCGCGCTTCACAGTTCCAGCGACGTGGTGTTTGGCTGTTCTGCGCATGCGCACACAGAAAAGCAGCATGCGAGCCGGGTAGAGAGAAGAACACTGTCGCTCTTGCAGTGCCGAAATTCTGGCATGTTGTTGGAAACGTGATTTCTTTTTACTCCGCGCGTATGGTATTCCTCCACAAGATGGAACTTCAACATACGAACCATAAACACAGTTGATGAAAATTTTCAACTTTTAAAAAATTGCCTTGCTGAAATTCACTCAACGTCAAATGCAGATCAAACTATTGCAAAACCAACAGGAATATTAAAATATCTAAATGATGATAATTTCAAGTTTTGCTTAGAGCTTTTTTATCAGATGCCTCATGTTTAAATAATATACAACTGTAAACGCAACGTATTAATTTTATTTAAAATGTATTTTCCCGATTGGCAACAACAGTTTTTTTCAGAACGATAATAATTTGAACGGTAATGTTTTTTGAGCAGTAATGTTGACGGTAATGTTTCTAAATAAAGCAAGTATTTAACAATTAATGTTTGACGGGATGTGTTTTTAATAAACTAATTAAATGCTAACATTTCAGAAGTGGGATAAACTAGAATTATTACCTAGGATTTAACAACGTATTGCCTTAACGTACGCTGAAGCCTAAACTGAATGCGGAAGCTCGCCAAAACTGAAAAGTAGAAAGGGTACGTGCATTTTATAAACTGTTTATGTTATGTTCTAAGTATTAAACGGAAGAAACTTAAAGTATAATTATTGTATTAGTATTTGAAAATTGAAAGTCTTAAGATGGCTTATTTGGCAAGGAGGCAAAGAAATGTGATTTAAAAGAACTTGCTTTGGAACTTGATGTAGATGTCCCTT